GCCAGCATGGCTGGCTGGGGAATTCTGGGAGTTGAAGTCCGCCCATCTTCAAGTGGCCAAGGTTGAGAAACACTGCTCTAAAGATCTGAACTCTTCTACTCGTCCTGGGCTTATATGATATGTAGCAGGACATTGTGTGTGATGGGAGAGCATCACAGTAAGGTCAGCTCCCTTTCATTTGAGAGGGTGGCCAATTCTGAATGTGATTTTATTGCTTTGGTGCTGAAGGTCCTTACGCATTTCTGGAAGGAAAAGAGAATGACGTTAGCTATGGCAGGTTTTTAATCATTTGGACTATCTAGTTACTGCTTTAGGAGAATCAATCTTCCACGCCCAGAGACCAGCCCTCCTTCTAAAATGCAGGTCGTATGCTTGTACGAACTGAGATTTTAGATCTACGTGCAAAGGGGATTTACATGCAAGTCTTATTTGCACTGCAAAACCCCAAAATGATGCTTTAGAGCAGTGTTTCTCAAACTTGGCCACCATTTCTGGACTTCAATTCCCAGAATTCCCAAGCCAGCCATGAGAGAAAGGGGGATTGAGACGTTTGCTCAAGGCAGCCAGGAGCATGGTTTTTTGCACCTCTTTCTAAGGCAGGGAGAGAAAAAAAAGAAAAAACACTGGGAAGGGATGCAGGGAGGAGAAAACAAGATGTGCGTGTGGGGAGATCAAACTAACATTCTGTCCCCAGGCATTTAAGTGTCTGTAAAAGACTTTGAGAGTTTGTGTGTCGTGGTGAAGGCACCAGGCTAGAAACCAGAGACTGTGAGTTCTAGTCCTGCCTTAGGCACAAAGCCAGCTGGGTGGACTTGGGCCAGTCCCTCTCTCCCAGTGTAATGGTCTGAGGGAATGACCTTGGGAGACAGGAGGAAGAGCCACAGACTGGACAAGGTATCTCAGCCCGCAGAAGGAAAAGGGGCATGGGAAGCGTTTCAGAAGGGGCCCTCCCTAGCTTTCTGGAAAGTAAAAGGAAAGGAGGAGAGAAATGCTTTCAGACTTGCAAGATTCTGTTAGTGTAATCTTACAATAGAGATAGCGCTAGTACTCCTGGGTGTGCTTCTCGTCTGGACTACCCTGCGGGGCTAAGACCCAGCCCACGGAAGGAGGAGGCCAGGGCAAACCTCTTCTGAAATCTTGCCAAGAAAATTGCAGGGATTAGTCCAGGCAGTTGCCAGGAGTCAACACTGACTCAAAGGCACACACACGCAAAAGACTTTGGTGAGGGAAACACATAAATAGTAAAAGTAATATTGGGAGTATAAAATCACACACTCAGCCGTAAAAGCAGCAGCAGCAGATACATTTCCACTCACCTTTGACTTGACCTCTTGTAACTCAGTAGCTCCCAGGAAGCCTCTGTTCCTAAAGCTGCTGCTAAGAGTCTGCAACTGGATCTGAGTCACTCAGAGTTCCTCTGCTCCACCTATTTGCTGGATCCTGAGGCTCCGGTCCCTGGCATCACCAAGGAGAATTGGCAGTTGACAAACTCCCAGGCTTCTCAAACCCCAGCGCCCTCCAGAAACAGTAAGGTGGACTTTGTCTCCTAACCCCTGCAGGCTACATTTATGAGTGTTTAAGGCAGGGTTTCTCAACCTCAGCAACTTGAAGATGTGTGGACTTCAATTCTCAGAATCTCCCAGCCAGCAACACATCTTCAGGTTGCCAAGGCTGAGAAACCCTGCTCTATGGAAATGAAAGAAGCAGGATCAGAAGACGATTGACGCTTTTGAGCTTTGGTATTGGAGAAGATTCCTGAGAAAACCGTGGACAGCCAAAGAACAAAACAATGGATCATTGAACAAATCAACCCAGAGTTCTCCCTCGAGGCACAAATGACCAGGCTCAAATTA